TTTGGAGTTCATAGGCTTCAGTGGATGCAAGCCCGCAGCCCCAAACCCCGCAGTCCGAAGTCCCGGAACCTTTATGGGGACCACCAAAAAGCACAGAAGCTTAAGCCTTTTATGGGGGATATCCCTACCCTATTGGCCTTCATTATAAGGGGTTTTATATGGGATATCCCTATCCTTATTTTTGTATTTTTGCTTATGTGCTTTTTGGGGGCCCTACTTTAACCTTAAAACTTTCAAGTCCCTAGATTGCACAGCCCTGCATTATAACTCGCCCAGCAAGTACATGTCGACAACAGTCTACGGTATCTGTTTTAGTGAACATGTTGTATATGTTATACTAGTCTATATATTGGGGTTTTAATTCCAAGCGAACCAGCCTGTCTTGGAAACTGAGCGCATGTTGTACAAAGCCCGTCTAAAACCATCTCTTCATTGCTCGGTAATTGCTGCCTGTTGGTGGACCCTACAACTAGACCAAACCATAGTATATGCCGGCACAGCAAAAGAGCGTAGCAATACGCAGATCAGAGCTACCACATTCCAACCCTGCATATCCGAAATCCAAATCTAAACCCTAAACCCTATCCGTCCAAGGACCTCATAGTTAGGGCCCTAGACCCCTTAAGGACCCCATGATAAGGGCCCTGGAGGCATAGGGTAAACGCCTAAACCCCTAAACCTCACAAATAGACCCTAACACGCCCTGAAGATCGCTTGTAGAACCCTTATAGACGCCAGCTAAAGGAACCGTAAACCACAAAAACACCTCACACCTAAACCCTCAACCCTACTACGGCCCATCTGGGAACCCTTAAAGTTAAAGGAACCCTGACACCCTTATAGATCCCTTTCTAAATGGAACCCTTATAGGGCCCTTTTGGGAACCCTTAAAGTTAAAAAAAGAACCTTTCTGAAGGACAGGGGGGCACCTGGCACTCGGCGCTTTTCGCGGCTTGGGGACCCAAGCCACAGGCCTGGTTTAGGGTTCAGGGTTTATAGGGTTTAGGGTTCAGCGTTTAGGGTTTAGGCTTTAAGGGTTTAGGGTTTAGGGTACGTACCCTTCGGGGTGTCTTATGTTTTACCCTGAGGGTCCAAAGGACCCGGTCATTAGGTACGTACTCGGTTTTAGCATCGTAGTGTTAGTATTTGGGAGAAGATATGATTATTAGGTACCTGGACCCTTGGGGTTAGGGTTTAGGGTTTAGGGGGTTCAGGGTTTTAGGATCTTGGGTTTAGGAAAGTACTGAGGATCCTTCGTGGGGTAAGGGGAAGCCCAAATGGAGCCTGTAAAAAGGGGGTCCCCCTAAACCCTAAACCCTAAACCCTAAACCGCTCCTTCTGAGGTTTGTTTAGCAAATCGTGAAGGCTGGATTGGTACATGCGGATCTCTTGGGGCTTTGTAGGGTTGGACGAGAGTTCTACAGGGTTAGATAAGAGTGCTGTAGAGTTTAGGGTTTAGGGTCTAGGGTTCTAGGGTTTAGGGTTTAGGCCAGCAGTAATGTCATCTACTTGGAGGATCATGGGACTTAGTAAGTAAGGTTATAAGTACCTTAATTGGGGTTATAAGTAGTTATATGTATAGTTACCCCAATTATAACCTTAGTTACTAAGTCCCATGATCCTTCGAGTAGAAGAGGGAGTGACTGGACCCTTAGCCTGAACTTCTGATCTGGATCCGCCTGGCTGGGTCTATATGGGAGTTTCCGAAAACTAGGGGACCCTAATGTAGTACCCCAAATAGTAGAATCCTTAATATAAGGACCCCAAAATGAGGCACCCCGAATTTTCGGAAACTCCCATATTCGGTGCGCCGTGTTCTGACACCCCGACACAGCATTGGACTTTGGGTTTCAGGGTGGGGGCTAGGCAGATTTTGGGGTAATGTAGGAACCTGATTAAGAAACCTTGCGTCTTTATTCGGGTTCCTTTTATGAATCCTAATATATTGGGGCTAATGATATTCCTACGTTATTCTGGTTCGGAAGGCCCAGAAGAAGCACCAGGTCTGAACACCTCAGAATCTCAACATTCTAACACTCTCAACCGATGGTTTAGGGTTTAGAGTGTTACCCATGCAAACCTCTGGAATAGCCCTGAAAGCCTTAAACAACAGCCCGATGAACTTCTGAACCCCTGCATATAGTGCCCCAAGATGCTGCTTTGTCACAGCTTGTAACACAGCGCTCAAGGCCTTAGCCACAAATCCCCATAAAGCCCCATCACCACCCTATAGTAATGTAGGAACCTGATTAAGAAACCCTGGCCCGATAACCCCCCCAATAGTAGGGTTCATATAAGGAACCCTAACGAAGGCCCAAGGTTACTTAATCAGCTTCCTACATTAATGAACCCTAAACCCTGAACCCCTGAACCCTATAGATCCCTTATAGAGCCCTTGCAGATCCCTTTAAAGAAACCCTACAGATCCCCACTTTTCTATAGTACGGGGAGCCGTTTAAAACAAAAAAAAACGCCTCGGAGGTGGCCAAAGCCTTGAGCACTGGCGCACAGCTGTCCTGGCCGCTGCTTCAGGAAGCGTCCGGGTTCCTTACCGTTTGGAGTTTAGGGTTTAGGGTTTGAGGTTTAGAGTTGAGGGTATATATAGGGTTTAGGGTTCAAGGTTTGGAGTTTAGGGTCTAGGGTTTAAGGTTTAGAGTTTAGGGTATATATAGGGTTTAGGGTTCAAGGTTTGGAGTTTAGGGTTTAGGGTTTAAGGTTTAGAGTTTAGGGTATAGGGTATAGGGTTTAAGGTTTAGGGTTTAGGGTATAGGGTTTAGGGTTCAAGGTTTGGAGTTTAGGGTTTAGGGTTTAAGGTTTAGAGTTTAGGGTATAGGGTTCAGGGTTCAAGGTTTGGAGTTTAGGGTATAGGGCTTAGGATTTAGGGTTTAGGGGCTTCAGGAAGCTTCCCAGAGAGCCCAATACCCCTTAATTGAGGAATATAGCTTAAATCATTAGGGGCTTCATATTATGATGTAAGCTAGCAGCTATATTCCTGAATTCAGGGGTATTGGGCTCTCTGGGTTCGGGGTTCCTTTCCGTTTAGAGTTTAGGGTTCAGGGTTGGTCTACAAGCTTCGGGGTTCCTTACCCAGACCTTCCGATATCCCTTAACTAAATGGAATGTATAATATAATAATATAGTTACCATGAACCATCTTAGGGGTCCTTCGCGAATTTAAGATATACCCTTCACCTACCCCAAGCTTTTTTTGGTAGGGCCCCGAGCTGCCAATAAAGGCTCACCTCATTTTGAACCCCACTTACTCAGTCCCATCAACCCCTCAGAGCTTAAGAGTCCTCCGCCAGGAAAGAAGTACTGCTCCGAACGTAAACAGCCCGCCCAATCCAGGTTTAAACCTATAAAGCCTTAGGCGCCCATGTTGCCGGTGAACCCCGAACCCCACACCCACGATACACAACCACAAACCCTAAACCCTCAAAACAACGAACTAGAACAAGCCCATATGCATTCCCAGAGTCTGTCTTATAAACTATAAACGAAAAACCTGGCTTCGGGCCTTCATTATGAACACACTGATAAGATCCGATAAGACCCTAGAATAGAACCCGCCTCTTGGTTTTCGAGAAAGAATAGCCATACAAAACCCTCAACCCATATAAAACCCCGAAGAGAAAGCCCTACAAAAGCCTTACTGAAACAAGTGTAGACACACCGATGCAGTCCGGTACTGGCTTGTGCCTTGAACCATGCGAGAAACGTTCTTGAATCAAGCCCGCTTAGACCCACAAATTCGTGATTCAACAGACGAATCACACCCAGCTTGAATTGAAAGTCTCGAGTAAAACACCTAATCCCTACACCCCCGTCAAACACCTCAAAGAGTCCCCGAAACCCTGACGCACCCCAATGACCTCAATAAGGCCCTGAGAACCCTGTTGAACTTGACTACATCCTCTCAAACCCCTCTAAACAACCTTTGGGAGCCTATACAAACGACATAAACTCCAATAAGAGCCGCTCAAGAAGGGTTAAAACAAAAACAAACTTCTTCTGGATCCTAAAGGAGCCGCTCCACAAGGCCCTGACCCCAAACCCTAAACCGTGAACCCTCAACCCTGAACCCCAAACCCTAAACCCTAAACCCTAAGCCCCTAAACCCTAAACCCCAAACCCCTAAACCCTAAACACCAAACCCTAAACCCTAAACCCTAAAAAGGCCCTGACAGTCCTGTCGCTGGGCATCTCCTGGGACGACTTTGAGGCCACGCTCGCGCTGGCGGCGCGCCAGCGCTGGAGACCTTGAGTCAACCAAGAAAATGGGTACCTTAGGGTCCCTTTGAAGGGTTACTATAAGGGTACTATAATAAGGGTTCCTTTAAGAAACTTAGGGGTACCTTTAAAGGGATCTGTAAGGGTTCCTTTAAGGGTTCCTATAAGGGATCTATAGGGTTTAGGGCTTAGGGTTTGGGAGTTTCCGATACTTATTTTGGAGGGTCCTTATGATAAGGATCCTACTCTTTAGGGTACCATATTAGGCCCCCTGTTTTCGGAAACTCCCATGTAGGGGCCTTAATAAGTAGAATGGGGTTTTGGGACCCGTACCCCCAAAATAGTGTAGGTAATTACTATAATAAGGCCCCTACAGTAGAAGATTTTTCGATCATGATGGGGGCTTTAGCTCATTTCTACAGAATCTTTATGAGAAACAGGTCTAGCAGGACATCTTTGCAGGACTCAATTGGTATCCCGGAGGCTGCCTGTGAAAACAGCACTTAGCACAGAACCTGCGAAGGACCACAAGCTCGACGGAAGTGCAGTGGACGCAAGGGCTTAGGGTGTAGGGTTGAAAGTCTAGCGTTTTGAATTTATGCATGTTCTGCGGCATCTTTGGACGGATTCCATGTCTGAGCCGCATAGTTTACCAATAGCTTGCAGCTGTGTCAAAGAGCACCCTCGAAACCCAGACCCAAATCCAAACAAACCCCGGGAATTCTCAAAGAGACCTTTTCTGCAGTGCCTTGCGGGTTGCAAGTTCGGAGTCAGCTCATTTTGGGCATGTTACACATGCCTACAGAGTTGTCTCCAAAGCATACCGCCTGACCATCCGTCCGGACTGCGCAAGTGTGGAAAAAGCCGGCGGACGCGGAGAGAACGGGACCCAGATCTGATGGCACGTCGCACTGCCCTTCTCTGTTCCGCCCGAAACCTTTTCCATGGTTGGGACAGCATTAAAACTTATAAACCTGTATATTCCTTCACGGGTTTTAATACCAATAAAATAGGGCAAACATGTACCGACCACGACAAAGAAACAGACCAGTTGACCGGTTGTCTTGATTGCGCACGTATGAAACGTCCCGGCTGAGACTGCCACAACTGATCCCAGGTCAGTCGGTACACGGCACTGCCCCTCATCATCACCTCCGAAACACACCAGCCGACCATCGGCCTTGATAGCACATGTGTGAAAACCACCAGTGGAGACGGCCAACACTGGCCCCAAATCTGCTGGGACAAAGCATTGGCCCTCTGTGCTCTGGCCAAAACATACCAACTCACCATCTGCCTTCACCACGCAGGCGTGGCCGCTCCCAGCGGAGACTGCTTGAACCCGTCCCAGATCGTCTGGCACAGACGTCACAGGGGCACCGCTCCCAAAACAAACTAACTGCATATCTGCTCGCAATGCACAAGTAAAGTCACGACCGGCGGACACACTCAGCACCGGTCCTAAATCTTCAGGAACGTCACACTGGCCCTCCCTATTTTGTCCGAAGCATACTACACGGCCCCCCTCCGACACCACGCACGTGTGGGAGCTGGCGGCGGAGACGTCCAATATTTTTCCCAGATTCGATGGCACATTGCACTGTGCTTGGCGCCCCACGCATGTGATCCGACCATCCGATTGAAGTATGCCTGGGTTCTAATTTAAGTTACCAAGATAACAAAACCATATTTTACCAGAGATCCCTGCTCTGGTAACTTAAATTGAACTCCTTCACAAGAACCGAGATGCATGTGTGGCCATCGCCTGCAGACACAGCCGGCAGGGATCCTGACCCCATTGGCCTCAGGATAGTTTCATAAAGATCCTGTGCCCAAGCAGCTGCATTCCTGGGCTCTTGCTAAGGAGCTCAAACTAAGTTACCATGCTAGGGATCCAAAGTACATAACATGATTTCCTTGCTATGGTAGTAACTTTTAAGTTCTTTGACAAGGATCTCAATTTAAGCTACCATAACAGGGATCTATGGTAAATAATAACATGGTCTCCTTATTATCATGGCATCTTAAACAACCAAGTTCTGTTTCATCGAGCCCAGATTCCCTGAGTTGGATGACTCAGGCAATGCACCGATCCTGGCCCTGATTCGAAGCGATCGATCCCGCGAGAGGGAAGGTAGAAAGCGAAGCTGTGCCAGGGCCCAGTAGACGCCAGCAGCAGCTGGGAGAGGGTGCCGCAGGCTAGGCCAGGCCATCACAGAAGGCCCAGAAGCATCTATGAAGATGAGCTGCGGTCACTCACTGATTTTGTTCAGCCGACGTCGTTCTGGAGCAATAGCACTGCCATTAAGAGCTACGATGGACAGTTTCGGGAGATCGCACAACAAAGCTACCCAGGTTCGTATTATTCCGTGTCAACAAGAAGCTCCCACAAAAACGGTGTAAGTGCAAAGGGTGCTGCTGGAGGAACTGGTTTAACACGGTATCCCTCTGTTTCTGCGAGCTAAGGACGAGGCGGAACCTCAAAGGGTAGGTTTGGTAGTTTAAAGTAGGTGGATGAGCTCACGTTCCTGCATCTGAGCGGTAATCTAACGGCTTTTGATCTAACAAGTACCCTATGCATCCAAGGACTCATATATTAAGGCTTTTGGGCCCAAAGACCATACTATATAAGGCTTTTGGGCTATTTTGATGCCCAGGGGTATAAATACGATTAGATGACTAGTACCTATATTCCCAAAGGGTCCAAGTATCATTCTGGTATATACTTATGGGGCATTTTGGGGATCTAAGATGGTCTAAGTATATACTATGATGGTACTTGGACCCTTTGGGATTCTAGTCTTATCCACTATTCTTGACCCTTACGGCGTCGGAGCCTAGCTTAGAGTGCCTCAACTGAGTACGACTGGAGAGCACAAAGCTTCAGGCTGAAAGGGAGCTATAGGGAATTTCCTTAGGGTCCCTTTAAAGGGTTACTATAAGGGTACTATAATAAGGGTTCCTTTAAAGGGTTCTATAAGGGTTTAGAGTTTCCGAAAATTAGGGGTACCTTTAATGGGATCTATAATGTATAGGGTTTAGGGTTTAGGGTCTGGGAGTTTCCGAAAAATAGGGCTATATAAGGCTTCCTTTAAGGGATGTATAGGGTTTAGGGCTTGGGGTTTGGGAGTTTCCGAAAATTTGGGGTACCCTTACAGGGATCTGTAAGGGTTCCTTTAAGGGTTCCGAAAAGGGATCTATAGGGTTTAGAGTCTAGGGTTTGGGAGTTTCCGAAAATTAGGGGACCTTTAAAAGGGTTCCTATAAGGTATTTATAGGGCTTAGGTTTTAGAGTTTAGCTTTGTCTACGTGCTGGGGTTAGGGTTCCGGGTTTAAGGTGTACGCGTTGAGATTTTGCGGTCGAAAAAAAACCTGGCTCTCTAATCCCCAAACCCTCAACCCTAATCCCCAAACCCCAAACCCCAATCCCTAAACCCCAAACCCTAAACCCCAAACCCAAAACCCTAATCCCTAAACCCTAAACCCCAATCCCTAAACCCCAAAATCCTAAACCCCTAAACCGAGATGGATTGTAGATGGCTGCACGCGGAAAACTGACTAGTCTCACGGGCCGGAGAGCGTTGAACCTTGCCAAGAGTTTAGAAGGGACCCCCACCCTGTTATAGTGGAAAAAGATGAATATAGCAGGGCCCGAATATAATCCTTATAGTCACTATCACAGGCTGGGGGCAGCTTCTAATCTATAGTCTCCATTGTAATTCCTTTTTCTGTCTGGTTCTTGGTAGGGAACGGGGGAAAGGATCCTTGTGACAGTACCTTAAGGCTCCTTATAGTATTATAGTAGTCCCAAAAGCCCATTCCCCCATTCCCTACTAAGGACCAGGGAGGATTTTGCTTAACCAAAAAACTATACTATAGGATCCTAATCATCATAAAACCATAAACCAAGGAAAGATCCGAGATCCTAAACGCTGAAACCCGATGCAGGTTGCTGTGGGCCCGGCCCTAAACTTCCTAAAAGATACCCTTAAGTAAACCTCATATTCATATCCCTTGAAGGAACCCTTAAAGGATTTGAGCCATCCTTATACTCATATCCTTTAAAGGAACCCTTAAAGGAACCACTCTGCAAAGGGCCCGGCCGCTCCATGATCACATACTCGAAAGCCGCGACGAAGCGCCTGTGTTGGGTCTCGGCTTAGGGTTTAGGGCTTAGGGCTGCTAGGGTTTAGGGTTTAGGGTTTATAGGGTTTAGGGTTTAGGGCTTCTAGGGTTAGGGCTTAGGGCTTATAGGGTTTAGGGTTTAGGGCTTATAGGGTTCAGGGCTTAGGGTTTAGGGCTTATAGGGTTTAGGGCTTCCGTTAAAGGGATCCATAAGGGCCCCTTAAAAGAATCTACCTATAGTTTCCATTGTAGTTCCCTTTTTTGGTTAACCAATTCTATGCTTGGTTAGGATCCTAGAATATAGTTTTGGTTAACCAGAAAAGAACTACAATGGAGACTATAGGTATGGGGCATGTCTGCCCAAGATTACTCAGCGGTAAACGAGCCTCAGAGCGCCAAACCCCTCCCTAAAACCCTAAAGCCTAAACCTTGACTGGCAGGAATATCGAAACTCCCCAGCCCTGAAGCCAAACATCCTTGGAGGTTCATGGGTAGTTTTAAGTGGAGTTATAAGTCCCCCCCATATGGGCTATAACTATCGTTAGCTTACTTCTAACCCCACTTATACTCCTGAGCCCAAACATCGTCCAAGCTTACCCCAACCAAGTTCTACCCTAGTCCAAAGACCCGACTTGTGAGCTTATTTTCCTAGACCTAAGAGTAACCTAGGAATAAAAAGATTGCCCTTCTTGGTTTAAAGGGGGCTATAAGGGAACCTCAGCCCTAAAAAAAAGGAATACGGGCCTACTCTGGGTCCTAGTTTCGCTAAGATCATTCCGAGTATTGTCTGTGGTGTGAAGCACCTAGCATGGATACTCGAAACGTGAGACAGAGCCTCCAAGCGCGCATAACATGGCCGTTGTATCTTTGTATGTATGTATGCATGCATGTATGTGTGTGTCTGTGTGTATGCATGTATGTGTAACCTACTTGGACAGGCAAAGACACCACATAACGAACCCTTGCAACCGCCTACAAATAACAAAAGGCTCCTTCTGCGCAAAGCCCAATTGTCACGCAACAGTTGGCGTAACAGTTGGCGTACAGGTGGGTGCTTGTCAAAATTCTGGTCCATTTTTGGGTCCCGCCTATAATACGGCGCCTATTATTTAGGGTACCCCAAACAGGACCTTAATTTTGACAACTACCCAGGTGTTTGTATAAATTTGCAGTTCAACGCTTCCGGACATAAGAGTAACCCAGGAATGAAAAGGGTGCCGTTGTTTTGTTGAAAGGGGGTTCTACGGGGACCTGAGCCCCCAAAAAAAGGGAATAAGGGCCTACTCTGGGTCCTAGGCTTGAACTGCAAGTAATACAACCCTAAACCCTAAACACTGAACCCTAAACCCTAAACCGAGAAGTACAATAGATACCACCCGACCTCCACACCGATGGGTCCAGTCCCAGTTCGTTCTGCTTGATGCATGCCTGGGTGTTGATTCTCAAGCCCTAAACCCTAAACACTAAACCCTAAGGGGCCTTACCTTAAGGACCAAATGAGCCTGAAAAGCCGGGGCTCTGCACCCTTTAGGGTTTAGGGTTTAGGGGGTAAATGAACCTTAAAAACCTTTTAGGGCTCATGTCGTCTTTAAGGTATCGAACCGAATAATGTTGTCTTTCTACGGTCTTTACAGGGTTTAATCTGAAATATTGCTTGTGGTGTCTGAAACAAAATATTCCTAAACCCACCCAGAAAGCTTACAGGAACCCGTAAAGAACCTAGCTGTCCGGCTCGGGGCTGATGGTTTATTGAGGGGCTTAGGGCTGAACTAGGGCCCCAAAAAGCACATAGGCAAAAAGTTGGATAGGGACATCCCATCAGGTAGGGATATCCCTTTGACTATAAAATGCTTATGCTTATGTCCTTTTGGGGGAACCCTAAACCCTAAACCACCCTAAACCCTAAACCATCCTAAACCCTAAACCCTAAACCACCCTAAACCCTAAACTCTAAACCCTAAGGGTCGAGGCCGGGGCTCAAAATGTTGAGAGTCAAAGCATCTAAGGATGTAGGGCGCAGCGTTTTGTGGCTCCGGGTTCTTCAGGGCCCCTGGCAACTTAAAGGATCATGGCACTTAGTAACTAGGGCTCCTTAAAAGGGCTCCTTAAAGGGGATCTATAAGGGTTCTATAAGGGATCTATAGGGTGTACGTAAAGGATCATGGGGCTGAGTAATTAGGGTTATATCTAATTAAGGTAACTGTTCATATATCTACTTATAACCCCAATTAAGGTACTTACAACCTTACTTACTAAGTCCCATGATCCTCCAAGAAGGGGTCCGTGGCTAACGCCCTAGAACCCAGAGCCCCGCCTCCTGAACCGCACAACTCCACATGAAGGAGTCCCAGGTCCTAAAGCCTCGTAGCAAAAACCGGAAACCTGAACCCTCAAACCCCTAAGACCAAGCTTGCGGGGTTGGGGTTAAGGGTTTAGGGTTAAGGGTTTCAGGTTTGTGGTTAATAGGAACCCTCCAATGGCCCCTTCGTAGAGCCCTTATGGTCCGTCATAGTGGGTATTCGGGGTATAGAGGGTACTTGGGGGGTCTAGGTAGGGTTATAAGGGTATAGCCCACAAAGACGCCCTAAACCCTAAACATCTCAGCGGCCTGGATATCGTACGCGAGTTGGCCGCTGCCTGCAGACGTAAACTTCCGGCAGGTGGGTCAACACGGAAGCCCGAAACCCTGAACCCTAAAGCCCTAGACCCTAGACCCCCAGAAGTAGGTAAAATAATGGCCCAAAACCCATAAAAGGCTATTACTCTACATAATTTTGAGGTCCAGGAAGACCCAACCAGAAGATCGCCAAGTTCTTGTGAGGCACTCTGAAACAAGAAGTTTAGTTCCAAGGGTAAAGGGAGGGACCCTTAATCAGGACCCTTAGGTATATACCCTTAATTCTTTATATACCCATTATATAGCCCGTTATTGGGTAGGGGTCCCCAGTAAGCGTCCCTCCTTTTCCCCTTTGATAGTTCGCATGTTCCGGAGCTCCGGCTCCTTCCAACGCCCTTACAAGCCCCCTACTTGGAGGTTTATGGACCCCTTTAAAGGGATCTATTATAGGGGTTCCATAAGGGTATAGGGT